AATAAACTGGCGGAGAATAGAGCGCGCCGGCGGAATCGTCTTTTCAGTTAAAGAGAAAAGCTGCGCCCTCATCCACATAAAGCTTTCGACGATAAGTAGACAACATATTATCGATACGCGCTGCGTTCGTTTTTTTCGTTTTGCCGAGTGATGAGGGATTCTTTTTCGATCAGCGCGGAATCGAACGAATCATGAATGTGTATTTGTTCTACAAATGCGAGACGCGGAAACATTTGTTATCATCAGGTCCGCATTTGCCGCATATTTCGCCAACAATGGGAATATTACAAAAGATGCGACGCTCAGCCGCAGATGAACGAGGTAATAAACTTTCACAAATAAACACTCAACGTAATGATGTAATAATAAAACATACAACGTGTAGATTTGTATTTTTTTGTGTGCCAGTAAATAATAAATTGATTTCACTCCTGCTTTACTTTATAAGACAAAAGCAATAATGTAACAATCAATCACATTACCTAAACAATGTGTCTACCACCATATCTACCTCATCTACCAACTGACAACAGCAAACTGTGCGCAAATATTATTGCAACATTTGTGGTTTTGCTGTTGTGCTTGTTGATTTGTACTTGTGTTGTTGTTTCTCTTGTGATGTGTAGATGAAACCGCCAATTATTTGCACACGCGCCGTAAAAATAAAGAAAACTTAAATTATAACATGCTTATTAATCTAATATACTATTACCAAAAGTGTAATGATTCTATAAAATTGATCCCCCTATATTGTAATTCGATAATCCTTAAAAATCCCTAAAATAAATGTGGATATAATGATGTAGAATATCAAATTCCGATATTTGTGGATAGATGATTCCGGTCGGATAGGAGGTTTTTTTTCTAATTATGCAAATATTTATTCGTTCATTACTCTCGTCGGAACCTTTCCGCGAAAATCAAAAACTGAGCGCATTTTGGAAAATCCTAAACAAATACGGCGCGCGCCCGATTTGACGTGTCCGAATGTGCCGATGCGCAAATTTCCGTAATTTTCCGCCGCGCGTATTTGTTTAGGCGCTGCCTCCCACACACTTGTTATCAAAGTTGAAACTCTCTCGCAAGCCGCGTAATTTATGGCGAATTTGCATGCGCGGTAATAATGCAGCGTTTTTACGCGCGCGCGCGCCCGAGGAAAATCAGAGATGCGAGAGCGTCTCACCTTCGCGCGCGTAAAATTTATTTCGGCAATATTGATAACACTCGTAAAGCGCAATAAAGCGCGCGCGCGCGCGCCGGATAAAAGCGAATGCCGCAAATTTATGATTTAATTTACTTCGCGGCGCGTGCACTCGACGAGCGGCAATTCTCGTAAATAATGCTGCTCAAGAGGAAACACGCCGAAGAGAAACACAAGCGATTCAAAGCTTCAACAAAATCTGCAGCCGAAGAGATACTTGCATAAAAGTTGAAATGCAAACATCAATTTATAAAATTTCACGATTTTGCGCCAATAGATTGCAAATCCCTAGTAACCAGGCTGAATATCAATATCAATATGAATAGGAATATATGAATATCGTGGGTGCATGTAAAGAGCTCGCAGAGTCGACTAGTCGACTAATATCAATGGAAAATTTATAATGATTGCCAACATAAATCACGTTTAATATTTGCACGCGCCACCATAATTCTCGTACTTGTTACCACGCGCATTACTCGGGACGCAATTTAAAATTTTCCCGGCTTGCGACGAATGCGCACAGCGAGAACAAGTAACAAGCTGGGATGATGGTAACAGGAGTCGGCACGCCGCCGGTGAAAAAGATTCCGGGATGAAAAGGAAAGGTTACCGCTGAACAAATTTAATAAGATTTAGAGCAGTTCGATGCGTTGGGTGTAAATATGTGCTTCCCGTTGTATTATTTTCGCAATTTTCGATAATGCGCGATGATTTACGCGCGTATTTTCAGTTTTCAATTATTCACTTGATTTGTAGCAGTTTTATTTGCTTTGTGGGTTGGGTTTGAGGACAATTAACCGCTCAAGAAGGCGATAAAAAGTGGCTAATATGTAAATATCCAAGGATTTATTCACTCATTCACTGGTTGAGTCCCTGGGGAAGCCGTTAATATTCCTTTTAATATTCACCTCGGCTCGCTGTCGTCTGAGCAATTGCGCGTAGTTTTTACTCCCCGAGTGGTTGGAAACTTTAACCTTTGGCGCGCATTTGCATGCGGCGATGGCGCTTTAATGAGGACGATTGTTAGTTTTCCTGCTCGTCGTCGTAAAAAAACAATGCGGGGGCGAAATCGCGAGTGCAAGTCAAAGACTACTTAAATAAATTCCATTTCTTGTTTGCCTATGACTGCGAATGAATGAGTAAATGAGTTTCAGGCGGTGGATTTGCATGTTTCGGCACTCACCGCGCGCGGTTTCCCTTCTTCCGGCTTTCCTTGAGCAGCCGCCGTGTTATCTGTTATCGCGTTAATGAGCCGCGTTTATTGCGTTTTTATTTCGCTGTCTTTTATCTCGCGCCCCGAAAAACAATTAAAATAATTAGAATTAACGAAACGATGAAATTGAATCGGGCAATAGTGTTGAGCGTCTGGCGTTGAAAGCGGAAAAACAAATGCAGGCGTCGAAAGGACTCGGACTCCTTCCCCCGGCTGCGCACGAAAAAAGTAAATTAACCCAATTTGAATTCACATTAAGTAAAGTAAATTGCGCACAATTGGAATGAATTGCAACGAAAGTTGCGACCGTTACGGATGTTGACTGAAGTTAAAGTGGAATTTAAAACAGGTAAAAGTCAGGAAAAAACGATGGTGCTCGAAGAGAAACGCTCGAATTAAGGAGCAGCGGAAAAACTTGGCGCACAAGTGAATATAAACAATCTGCAGCAAAGAAAAACAAACTTCACGAGTGCTGTTACATTGAAATCGATTAAAAACTTTGCGCGCAATTTTTACGCAATCACTTTCCGCGGCAAATGATTAATTCTCATCATCTTTTAAAGCATTTAGGACACGAATGAAGTTATTTGCAAAGCGGTGGCTCGGCGCAGCTAAGAATCGTCCTTCGCCCGCGCCCAAAAATATAAATTATTAAATTACGCGAACAATTTCACGCCCGACGTCGTTCGCCACATGTTATCAGGTACTTCAATTTCACCCTCGCCTTAACGCCCGCCGTCTAAAGTGCAAAATCTAACGGCGAGGGTGGTGGTGGTGGTGCTTTCCGCACTTTTTACGCTCACGTGTCGCACCGGCGTTACTTATTTTTCCATCTCGCCGGAGCGCATCTGCGATCGGTGTCAATGCAATTGCGCGTACCGACACTGACACTCGAAGATCGTCAGCGCGCCCCCTTATGTCGTATTTTTCATTTCATCTGCATCTCTTGCACCCAAAACGAGAGATGAACCAATTTAAGGCTATAACACAAAGAGACATTTCTTTCGTTTTGCAGCAAGAAAAAAAGTTGCAGCTTAAGACGGCAAGCAGGTTCTTAAGATGCACCCGCGTGGATGTGCTTTATGACATCTGCTTTTTCTCTCGTTTTATGCGCCGTTACTTCCCGGGGGTGGATACGCCAGCGTCTGGTGCGTGTGCAACTGATGCGTTTCGCGAACCTCGAAACGCGAAACAAACCGGCCGGGATGAGCCGGATTAGAAATGGCCTCATTAGAATACTTCCCCTGCTTATATACCCTACTGCAACATCTACTCGAGAAGCGTAGGAAAAAAAAATACAACAAAAATTCGTGTAAACTCTCGAGTTAAATCAAACAAACTTTAAACGCTTTTGTTTGCATTATGTTATTATCTCGCACGGTTCGCGCCGTAATTAACGACTTTTTGTTGAATATATACTTTGTTCTGCACTTTCGCGTTTCATTTACTGCGCACTGAAAGAATTAAAAACGATAAAATAAAACGCCCTTTTCCGTCGAGTTGTACCGGCAGGACAAGGTGAAGAAGTGCAGAAGTGCTCCGCGCGGCGAAAAAGATGCGGGAAGTTTGCGTTTAGCGCTTTTTTTTTTCTTCATCTTGCCAAGCGGCCCGCAGCGCCGAGATGTGATCTTTCGGCGGACCGCCTGGTAAAAAATATGGAAAACTTTCGAGTTGTAACTTTGACGGCGAAATTAACTCGGAGGAAACACTTAAAAACGGCTTCAAATCATATTACTTGCGCGGTTATTTATTAGCGGGCTTAGCACTGGCAAGTAGTCAACTTAAAAAGGCCAAATTAATTGCTTTAAAATTACCTACTTAGAAAATGTTTAATGATTCCACTTCCGCGGACAAATTGCGATCTAATTAACGTTTTCTTTTTAGAGTAGTTCACCACACTCACAAACAAAAAGTTTTCTAAAAAAATTTTACGCGCAAGAAAAATATAGAAAACGCGTAAAAAGCGCTGATAAGATTTTTTTATACGTTGCGGGTGTATGCGAAGGGTGTATAAACGTCGCGAAGGTTCCGTTTTACAGCCGCGTCTAATAAAACTAATACCTGATTAAACCGATAGCATCGCGCTTTATCTCGGAGCTTTCGCTCGCGATCGTTCGATCTTTTAAAGTCCCTTAAACTCTCCTTAAAGGCGCCGCCCGTATAAACTCCGTGCTTGTTGTCGCACGCACGGCCGAGACAGCGAATCAAAGCGGCATGAAATTAGGTGTTTTATATTCAAAAGGTGTCACTCACTTTTACTTTTTTTACATTTTCCCGCTCGACGCTCGCGCGCTCCCATTAAACTTGAGGCCTATGCGCCAGCGTATACTCGGGAAAGCATCATTCCTTTATTTTTATTTCGGCGGTCTTCCACCTCGACTCGTTGTTTACCTAACTGCTTGCCGGTTGACTCTCGAAAATACGGCCTGCCTTATTGTTGTTTTTATATCGCTGCGAATCCGGGCGCGCAAAGAAAAAATGAGCGCGCATTTCCCCTGGCGAGTTTCACTTGAATTTCTCGATTTTACGACCGGCGCGAGAGTGATAAAATTAACATGTTATTATAACGAGGAGATAACTCACCGGCAACGGTGAGCGTCGCGTTCCGACTGCGCGCCTTGCCTAGCGCATTGGTCGCCTCGCAGAAGTAGACACCGCTGTCGGACTCCTTGCGGCCGTGTGCAACGCGCAGAAAGAAGAGACTGCCAGCCGGCAAGAGGACACGATGACTGCGCTGGTCTTGCGTTGCAGTGCGTACGGGTACACCATCGCGGTACCATGTGATCGTCGGTTCTGGTTCACCAGTTGCGTGGCAGTTCAACGTTGCAGGTTCGTTTTTTGCCACAGTCACATCAATCGGATGCTCGGTGATTCTCGGAGGTTGTTGCAACGTGTGTTGGTAACCTGAAAATAAAATAAAAACAAGAATCAGTATATTGTATTATAGTTGAGTTGTGAAGCAGTATCAACCGATTTTGATGAGGAAATAATTTATGCCTGTACTGTTCGTGCGCTTCTTGTGTAAATTTAAGATTTACGGTCGTAATATCCCCTAATATGGGCTGATTTTCCTAAGTAATCCCGGCTTGTACCTCCGCTCCACCTTGATCCCAGCCACACCACCAAAACACGCTGCAGCACAATGCGGGAGAATAGGAAGCAATAGAATATCAGGCACAGTGCCTGCGTGCCGGTGTTTGCCGCGCGGATGCTTAATGTATGCATAATTTAATTAAACGACCTTAAGCTGCTTCATAACACATCGGAATACGCCGGCATGCGGGCAACCCGACGGACCTGCCCGCCAACAATAGCAGCAGTGATTGGTGGAGGCGCCGGTGAATTTCATTCGATAATATGCCATTTAAGACCTTTCCCAACATCCCGCAAATCGAGCGATAAAACTAGTCCGACTGCGAACGAAACAATATTGCCGCGATTACACCGCCTTAATTTATGTAACAGTTTATCATGCGTTCTCTGATTAATTAATTATGTTGTATCGCGGGTGTCCGCGACAACGGCCGCAGCCAAAACGATAAATTAATTAAACTAACAACAACAACAATATTAATAGAATTAATTAATATGAAAATCAGTTGTGTGCGCGCATCGCGCATATCGCACATTACGATTTCATAATGATAGTTGTTTCGCGTCGACGAGATGGGCGCTTGCAGTGTTTGATTAGCGCGAAGTGAGACGCGCTGTGATAGCCGAGCGGGCGCGCACCACGCGGGCAATGTCATTAATCAGCGGCAAATTGGCAAAAGGTTTTAATTAACGACGCGCGCGCGTTCGAATCGGACGTGCATACCGATGCATCGTTAGAGGTGGCGAACGCATCCCGCATGCAGCGGCGTCCGCGGAGAGTTATTATTAGAATTATTAAACGTGTTTTTCGGTGCGGTGTGTGCGCTGGTGTCGATAACGTGACACGTGTAATTTATTTATTTATGCGTTTTGATTAGGTCGACGCGCCTACGCACAATTCATCAATTATTTCTCTATAAATCATCGTTTATGCGTTTATTTGTTTTTGCGAGTGTCGTCATGCGTTGCGGGCTTTTTTGTTTTGTTCCACCGCCGGACGATGGGTTGATGAGTTGTGACTGTTCATCGCCCGGCTGCATTTGGCAGGCATGCCCGCGGAATCTAATAAGTTTGGATGAATCGAACATTTCGATAACGAAATTCCGCGCGCACTGATTGCGTCAGGTCGGATCATAAACTGATTATGCGCAACATTCGTAAATACATGTTATTAATGCAGATTTTTAATGAACGTGTGCAATCTATTTATTCCACGCACGCAATCTCGAATTTCAAATTCAATCAAAAATAATTACACTAAATTTTTGTTTAAAAAATGTTATTTTTCGTGAAAATAAAAGAAAAAATGTGTGTGTGGTGTTAATAACATGTCGTAAACCCGAAAGAAATATGTGCGGCTTGTGTAAATATTTGCAAGCAATAAAATATTCCGCAAATATTTAGAAATAATAAACCACGAAAAGCGAACGACGACGCGCATGTGAAATACCAGCGCTGAAATTGTGGAGAAAATTGGCCGACGCGGCGCGCGTTGATTGCACTGTCGCTGTCGCGACATTCGACGGCGGAGGCGCCGGGCAAAAGCAGGGAAAACAACTACAATTATACTTTACGGCTCGCGGGGCGACGCCGTCGTTGGAGTAATACGTCTGGCCGACGAAATTGCTCCAAACGGCGCAATAATGGCACTGGAGATGCGAGAAGATCGACCGGCGGCACCGCTCGATTTGCCGCGACCTCTTTCGCACGACATAAACAATTCGCACCGGAATAAAAACCGCTTCCGCACGCACGCAGGCGCACGACAAAACGACGGCGGACAATTATTTTTATGTGCATTGCGGAAACAAGATAAAAATAATAGAAAATAAACTTTCCGGTTCGGCTCGGCGGTTAAATAAAATATGTAGACTCTTCGGCGTTGTCTTGCCGTCGCACCGAATGAAATAAACAAAGCCAGCGCGTACTCCAACCAGAGATAAAAAAATAAGAATAAAAATAAAAGGGAAGTGAAACGAGGGAATTTCCCAGCAGAAACGCACCGCCAGAAACACAAACAGAGAAGACAGAAAAAACGTTACCGACGCAACAAACAAAAAGCAATCTAGATGTTCGTCGTGGCGCGTTTTTCGCATAAACGCGAGATTCATCTGGATGTGACTTTTGGGCATTTTTCCATTCGTCACGCGGCAACAGGCCACGAAATCAAATCTTGATATGTGAAAACAAAACAACCACGCATGAAATATTCATCTAAGCTTCGTCTGCTAATAAGCAAACGCAAGAAACAAAAGTAATAAAAGTGCAGCGCAACCGGATGAAGTTCAAGATGAAGGACAATACGCTTCGCGTATCGGAGATGCGAATGCGAAGTCAATTTGATCTTGTGGCATGATAAAAATTATCTATTGCTGTTTGTCTGCTCGTCGCAGTCGGATGCGAACTTTTTTCTCCCATCTGCAGCTTCCTAAGTGCAGTGTAAACGTTCCAACTACATTCGCTTCGTCTCCTGCTGTTTCTTTTTCTTGGAAGCGATTGCTTCAATATATAAGAAGATTGCTGCGACTCGCTTCATTTTCGTTACTTAATGTCGGCGTCTAGTCGCATCCAGTCTGGTCAATGAGACGTGCCGAGTCTGGGCCTCGACGAAATGGAATTTCATGATGCGATCAACTGATAGCGACAATGCAAACAAAAGCGCATCCAGAATGAATAAAAAAGTTCTAATCACGGACACTAAACCTTTGATAAATATTAAAGTATTACAGATGTGAGCTGCTCAAGAAATAGATTTGAAGAATTGCGCGCAGGATGAAATGCGACAAACCTATCAAAACCTACTCGTAATAACATCTCGGACAGCCGCGGGTCTTTTTTGGCATTTTTCTTCTTTTTCCGTCGACGGTTTGCTCTCCCTTTGTTTTTTGCGTTTTGCGTTTTCGCAAGCGTTTTTTTTTTGTAATTTCGGCCACAAAGGCGATTAAAAGATCATAAGACTTTTTTGATATAAAAGCAGATCAATTAAAAAACCGTTGGCCGACGAGTTTTTACAGGAGAACATCACGATGAGCACAGAGAAGAAAAAAAAAACGCGCAGTCGATGAGTGGGCGATAGCGCAACGTTGTGTGCAGGATGTGCAGGAAATGAAGGAGAAGAATAAGTCACTAATCGTCTTCGTGCGCGTCGCGCGCGCGCCGCATCTCGGACCAGCACGAGCCGGTCGAATGATGAGGATCAAAAGCTAACGGTCCATGAGTGGTAATCCTCGAGATACGTCTGCACTTTATTTTCGAGGATTACGCGCCCGAATCTAATCTAAACAGGGATGTTATTTCGCGTCCCAGGGTCGCTCGGTATTTATTAGCGCACCCCCTGGCAGATGAATTACTAGCCGGGACCCAGCCAGGGGGTTGTTCTAATATGGACTAACGCAAACTAATGAGCGTTAAAACTCAGTGAAAGCCTTCTATCAGTTGAAAAATCAAACTTTCTGCGGTGGTGAGCTGCGGGCAGCATCATCATGAAAGCGAAAGTAAAAATCGCGTGTAAAACATCAGCGCTAACGTCGCCACTATTTTCGGGTCTAAGTGGGCTACCGTGTAACGCAATTTTCCAGCGAGCGTCGAAAATCAAATTAAATTACATTGATTAAAAGCCATTAGGTGGTCCTCTTTGCCGGACCTTTGCGCCGCGCGCGCCGAGACGCAAAGGACCGAAAGATGCATCCCACTAAAGAGCTTAATATGCCGGCGCATTACAGGTTGTGGCGTGCCCGCCCACGCCCGAATCCGTGTTGCGACCGAAAGTAATTTTCCGAGCGCGCTGCTCGCCAAATACGAATATTACACAGCTTCGCAAGCGGTGGTTCCGAGAGTTTAATTCCGGCAGGACTCGGAAGCCGTGAGGTCAGCGGCATAAGGACATGTTCGAGTGATGCGAATAACTGTGAATGCGATCGTGAGATGACTCGGGAAACACAAAGATTGTTTCTTAATTTATAGTTTTGCGCCAAGCGGCAGTAGAATCTCAACTGGCGACCCTACTAAAACATCCAATGAGGACTAGTTTCAACAAGCGCACCAGGTCTGAGTGGTATTTCTAAGGTGCCGCCCTTAGACGCGAAGTAAAAGGTTGGAAGCCGGACAACGCAAGTTCGGAGATGTGTTCGGGATTGTTATTCTGTTCTCGGGCAGCGCGCCGACGTCGGACGGGCGAGATATACGGCCGTAACTCTCCTTTGGCCGATGCTAATCCGGCAGGATTAATTCCTATTGTGCGCGGCGGCGCGCGCCCCGGGACGCCGCACCGGTCCTTACTCTTTGGTCGCGTGGTCATCGTCCTTTTCCTGCCGAATTAAACTCCACGGACATGTGTGCAAAGTAATCAGGATGTATTTATAACTACGACCGGGGAGTCCTTTTCATTTTCCTCCGGAAAGTATCCGACCCACCAATGCGACATGGATTCTACATTCCAACTCGTCCTCTGTATGTGGAGAGGAATTGAAAGTCGCGCTGCTCCAGTTTCAGTGTCCTTTTTTCAGGTATAATTCACTTTTTGGAAAGGATTACGGATTAAGTGCGCACCGAGGAGATTTCATTTGCATAGTTTTTCCTATCCGAGCCGGTCATCTACCGGACATAATTTAGATTTAAACTCCTTTTAGTCCTACCTTCCCGACTGGATTAAATGCACATGCGCGTTGCTTTTTTTTCCTTGCAGGATTAGGTATTAAACGCCGAATGTAAAGGAAGAAGAGTTGCAACTTGAGAATGTGCGCTGGAAATTTATTTCAGGAATGTTTTAATCAAAATCTATCCGATTTAATATCACCGATAGATACCGGTGG